TTTCACTCAAGGAAGGAAAGAAAATGCGTGCTTCCCCTGGTCAGAATGGCATCAAACAGACAGGGAACTGCTTTTTCCTACCTTGTTTCTAGATGGCATCTCCTAGCTTTTAAACAATCCACGCTTTCATCACTCCCATACCAAATTAATCTCTACTTTCTCTTCATGTTCTTTAGAGGACGAATTCAAAGAGTTCTGAGTAAGTGGTAGGGACACTTCACTGTCTCCATGTGCAAAGGTCAGTCAGAGATCACAGCCATTAATTAGGAGTTTGAGTGAGAAAATCATGACCCCCGAGTCCTATGACTGTACCTTACAGTCATCTGGGAACTGGTCTTAATCTTCTGGGGCTGCCATAGCAGAATACTGCAGACTGGGGCTTAAACAACTGAAATTTATTTTCTCCCAGTTCTGGAGGCTGGAAATCTAAGATCAGGGTGGTAGCACGATTGAGTTCTGGTGAGCACTGTCTTCCTGACTAACAGCACCTTCTCTCTGTGTCCACATGTGGCCTCTTCTCGGTGCATGGGTGTAGAGAGATCAGACAAACTCTCTGGTGTCCCTTCTTATAAGGGTACTAATCCTATCAGATCAGGGTCCCCTCCTTATGACCTCATTTAACCTTAATTACATTTTTAGAGGCCCATCTCCAGATATAGCCACCCTGGGTTTAAGAGCTTCATCCTATGCGTTTGGGGGACATGAACATTCTATCCGTAACACTTATTAAAATGTGGGTTCTGATTCAGGATCTCTGGGATGGGGCCTGAGATGCTGCATTTAACAGGCTCCCGGATTATACCCTGGTTGCTGGTGGGGGAGACCCCTCTTTGAAGGGCCAGTTTCTCATATTGCCTCGATGTTACAGATGAGGGAACTGAGGCTTTGAAAGGTGAAGTCACTTGCCTAAGGCTCTCCAGCTATTGGATGGGAGAGCCGCACTTTCAGGGAGGGAGTCTGATGCAAGGACTGAACTGTCCCCGCCCCAGAGATTCAGATTCACTAGGTCTGGGATGGGGCCCAAGAATACACAGGTGATGCTGCTGCTGTTGGTGTGGAGACCACACTTGGAGAATCCCAGCTGTACTTCTTCTCTGGGTATTCTTGCATTAGATGATTCTCCATTTCCACAGCAAGGAAAAGGCTGAGACATGTGGCCTGCAGTATCCAGACTGACCAACCCTCTTGACTTAAATAAAATAAAATCACCTGAAAAGGATAGAAAGTGCCTGGTGTCAGGTGTCCCTTCCAGGTGTAGATTTAATCTCTGTGTGACCCACAGTGAGTTATCAGCTCACATCTGTCAGAATGGCCATCATCAAAAAATCTACAAATAACAAATGTTGGCGAGGATGTGGAGAAGAAGGAAACCTCTACACTGTTGGTGGGAATGTAAGTTGGTGCAACCACTATGGAGAACAGCATGGAGGGTCCTGAAAAAACTGAAAATAGAACTATCATACGATCTAGTAATTCCATTCCTGGGTATATACCCAGAAAAAACCAGAAACACTAATTCAAAAAGATACATGCACCCCAATGTTCATAGCAGCACTATTCACAATAGCCAAGACATGGGAGCAACCTAAGTGTCCATCAGCAGATGAATGGATAAAGAAGATGTGGTACATATATACGATGGAATATTGCTCAGCCATAAAAAAGAAGAAAAATTTTCCATTTGCAACAACATGGATGGACCTAGAGAAAATCATGCTTAGTGAAATAAATCAGACAGAGAAAGACAAATACTGTATCATATCACACATATGTGGAATCTAAAAAATAATACAAATGAAGGTACATGCAAAACAGAAACAGACTCACAGATATAGAAAACAAACCAATGATAACTGAAGGGGAGAGGGAAGGTGGAGGGACAAATTAGGGATATGAGATTAAGAGATACAAACTACCATGTATAAAATACATAGGCAACAAGGATGTATTGGACAGCCCAGGGAATTATAGCCATTATCTTGTAATAACTTTTAATGGTGTATAAGCTGTAAAAAATCCTGAATCACTATGCTGTACACCTGAAACTGATATAATATTGTAAATCAATTACACTTTAAAAAAAAAAAAAAACAGAAGAAAAAACACTAGATAATCCTAACCTTGTTTGGTTTGGAGTAATTTAGGGACAGATGTGAAAAATGCCCCACAGAGTTCCTGGCACCAAAGGGACAAGCAGTCACTGCTCACGGGTTCAATCCCACTTTGCTGGTAGCAAAACAGTCTGTTACATAAAAAACAAAAACTTCATCTTATGACATTGTCTCATTTTGTTCCACTCTTGATTCACGTGGACCTAGAATGTGCTGTGCTTGATAATCGCTGTGGGGATGGCCTTGCACTTATATCCTCACTGTCCTCATGATGCATCCGCAGAGTAAACCCAACCCAATGGTGAGAGAATAAACATTTCTATAGACTTGACTTACGCAAAATGGAGCCACTATTGTTTGAAACCCCCATACCATCCTGCCACACCCATAATCCCCCCCTCCTTTGCTAGCATCCTCAGGTCAGACACCTTGGAATGGTCCTTGACCCCAATCTTTCCCTCACGTCCAACATCCAGTCTTTCAGAACATCTGTTGCGCTGCCCGCACTCTGACCACGTCTCACCACCTCCCCTGCCAGCCACCATCATCTTTGACCTGAACTCTTGCAGGAGACCCCAGACTGGTCTCCCCACTTGCACTTTTGGCCCTCAACTGTCTGTTCTGTTAAAAACAGAAGTCAGCTAATACCTGTTCTCTCTTCGCAACCCCCGAGTTAAAACAACAAAGTGCGGGTGAGGATGTGGAGAAACTGGATCCCTTGTGCATTGCCTGTGGGAGTGTAAAATGGTGCAGCCACTGTGGAAAACAGTATGGCGGTTCCCCAAAGACTTAAGCCTAGAATGCCATATGATTCAGCAATTCAGCTTCTGGGCGTATATACCAAAGAATTGAAAGCAGGGACTTGAACAGGTATGTGTCCACCCATGTTCATAGCAGCACTATTCACAATAGCCAAAATGTGGAAACAACCAAATGACTACTCACAGATGGGTGGATGGACAAAATGTGGTCTCTCCATACAGTGAAATATTATCCAGCCTCAAAAAGGAAAGAAGTCCTGACACATGCTACTACATGGATGAACCTTGGGTAGAGACATTATGCTAAATGAAATAAAACACAAAAGAGTGAATACTATATGGTTCCTCTTATATCAGTATTAAAGACTGAATTGTGCCTCACCCCCAAATTCATATGTTGAAGCCCTACCCTCCAATGTGACTGCATTTGGATATAGGGCCTTTAAAGAGGTAATTAAGGTTAAATAAGGTCATAAGGGTGAGGCCCTAATCCAATAGGACTGGTGCCATTATAAGAAGAGAGCTCTCCCTGTACACACAGGGCACAGTGAGAAGGTGGCCATCTACAAACCTGCAAGAGAGATCTCACCAGAAACCAACCCTGAGAGCACCTTGATTTTGGACTTCTAGCCTCCAGAATTGTGAAAAAATAAATTTCCATTGTTTAAACTACCCTGTCCGTGATACCTGGTTATGGTAGCCCTGGTAGACTGATGTAGTGAGGTACTGAGAGCCGTCAGATTCATAGAGACAGAAAGTAGAAAGGTGGTTACCAGGAGCTGGGGGCTGGGGGAATGGGAGTTATTGTCTAACGGTTATGGAGTTTCTGTTTGGGAAGATGGAAAAGTTCTCGAGATGGATGATGGATGTTGTGGATGTTGGTACATCCACAACAGTGTGGATGTACTTAATGCCTCTGAACTGTAAACTTTGAAATGGTTAGAATACTAAATGTTATGTTATGTGTGCTTTTGCACAATAAGAACAAAAGTGACTCTGAGTGGTTCCTCAGTGCTCTCAGAATGAAAACCAATGCCCTCCTTTGATCTCACTTCCCACTGTTTCCCTCCCTCTAGCCACAGAGGCCTCCTTCCTCTAGTCTGACCCTGTCTGACACATCTCCCCTCAGGGCCTTTGCACTGAAAGCCTCTTTCCCCAGATGGCTTCACCGCTCATCCCCTAACTTCCTTCAAGCCTTTACTCAGTTGCCACTTCTCTTTAAATTTAAAATCTTACTTCTCTACACTCAGCATTTCCCTTCTCCTTCCCTACTCCTGCCTTACTTTTCTTCATGGTAAGCTTCCTCTTCTAAAACACCAACCGTTTATTGATATTTCTTTTCTACTGTTTGCCTTTTCTACCGCAATGTAAGCATCACCAGGGCAGGACCTTCCTGTGTTTTGTATGTTGGGTCTTCCATGCCTAGAGCAAGACTTGGCAAGCAATAGGTGCTGAATGCCTGTCTTTTGAATGAGTAAATAAATATCACAATTGCTTGTGTGTGTATCTGCCATGTTGTCTGACTGGGGAGTTTCTTGAGGGTTGAAACCATCTTTTTCTTTGGTTTTTCTTTCACCTTTACATTCCAAAGCAACAAGAAAAAACTGAATAAAAAGCAGGTGCGTGATAAATGTGGACGGATGATGGTTAGATGGATGGATGATGGATGGATAGATGGACGGATGGATGGATGGATGGAGGGAAGGATAAAAAGTAGACAGTGATGTCTTTGAGTTGAAGGGAGATAGATTTGACTATCCCAGATCTGGAATGGGAGAGAGAAATTAAGTCCAGTTAAGGGCAGCCTCTGCTGATGTGAGCGAAGGTGTCTGGGGGCATATTATTTTATGAGCCATCAGCTTCTCTTTGTTGTGGCCTCTGATCCACAGCTTTTGCCTTCACCCCACATCTGCATGTAATAAAGCTTAGTTATGACATCCATATGTCTCTAACGCAAACACCAGGGCATATACTTCTAAAAAGCGCTATAAAGAGCAGTGGCTCGAGAAGCAGCCGTTAAGAGCGTGAGCTCTTTATTATTTTAAAGGGCATTTCAACGACACCACCGAACATTCTCTGGCCATAAGTCTGACTCCTGTCCTTTCTCTTTCTTTTCTCCTCATCTCAGGATATCAAAGTAGACTGCAATACCTGTGTGGAAATAGAGGACAGAAAGGTAAGTCAATATTTTTCATCTTTTTGGTTTCAAGCAAAACGAGAACTCTGTGATTTAAACCCAGCTGTTTAAGGCATGCCTTACTGGACGACGGCTTGCAAAGGTGATTCATGTGCTGTTATCACTTGAAGACAATCATATTTTTAAATGGCTGTTTTTTTGATCTTCGCAGTCTGTGTTAGACCTGATAACTTCAATGAAGATGGCAATAATGTAATTGTGCTAAAAAGTTAGTGTTGATTTTTGTCTTAGTCATTTGCTTCTTTTCAGGAAAATAGCTCGTTTATCCTTAACTCATTTCACATTTTAGTTGAATATTATGGATGATTATTATATATAATATGCCACATACTACATAGAATTATAGAACATTGCATATATTACAGAATACATACTCTTGGGCTTTTCAGGGTGTATCCTGAAAAATATATCTGATCTATACACTTTGGCTTGATAAAGAGCCTGTCCTGATTTCCATCATGACACAGTCACGTGAGCAGTGACTTTCTGTGATAGAAATTTGTTCACATGATGTTTTGCCGGGCGGGGGGGCAGGAAAGGGAGGTCGCTTCCTGCATATTTTAAAGTTTTCCCCCATTCATCTTCTTGTTACACTTGGTGTGGACCCCCTCAGGAAATGCAACTGCTAGACAATTGTTCTTCACTTTAATATTTTCGTTCTCCCTTTATTGACCGGAGTTCACAGAAGTTTCCGTGGTAGCGCGCATCCGAGCAGATCAAATTTTACCTTTAAAGCCTTGGATAAGAAAAGGTCAAATAACTGAATTGAGGGTACATATCTCCTGGCTACTTTTGACACCGTTCCACAATTCTGAAAGATGTCCCTCTGTGCAGCTGTACCTTTATTGTTGAAGGCGGTTATTATTTCAAGCAGAGGTTTTTCAGCCTTGATTTTGTGATAGCTTTTGGCCATCCACTGATTAATAAGGTGGTGAGGACTTCTCAGAACAAAATTTGCTTTTAAATAGAAGACAGTTGCCACACATTATTTTAAGGAGCCTTAATCTCCTCACTTTGAAGGGAATTATGATACAGTATCTTAAATTCGAGCCACATGATCTTAACTTAGTTCCAGTTGTGTGTCTAGTTTGCAGAAGAGGTGTTTCGATTCACATTTGCATTCGCGTGTCATGATGTGCTGGTATCCCTGCACGCATGCATTTTGTGAGTTGGAGAAATGGAATTTAGGCTGAAGAGGTGTCTCCAGTCTTTTTTAATCTCTTCCCAGTGACTCTGCTCACCACGTCCCAGTGAAAGCATGTTCCCTGCCCTGCTTCCAAAGTTCAGGATGTCTTCACTTCTCTTGGATTTTAATGGAATTCACAAGCATGTTTCTGTCTAGTTTTTTGGTTTGTTTGTTTTGTTTTACTTTCTTTGCGAGTAGTGTTTGAAAGATACCAGGAGGACTGTTAAAGCAACATCAGTTCTGTCACCAACAAACAAGTGAACAACCAGGATAACCTCTGGGCAATGCCAGGCAGCCGCACAGCTCCATTCCATAATAACTATCCAAACTGCCTTTGGTTCATGTATCATGACGATAAAGACCCCTCCCCCCCCCAAGACTATGGATGTTCTCTGGTGATGACGCCTGGGAAGAAATCATAGCTTATCATTCTGTACATAACTTCAGCTGTTCTCAAAAACGACTAACACAGACAGAGACTCATACACACACATATGCATTTCTGTGCTGTGTCACAGACTGTTGGGTTGAGTCAGACACTTCAAATGAAGCCTCGTATCTGGAGGGCTGTCCTGTTGTTTTCCAGCCTTGACCACACATGACTGATTGTTACCAAAAGAGGGGCCCGGCTGCTTGCCATTCTAAAGCCAATAAAGAGGAAAAAGGTTGGTGGAAAGGAAAGTTTGCTTTGTTTCGGAGGCTGGCAACCAGAGGGGTGAGTGGTGGGGGCGGACTCAGGTCCAAAGGCCAGTTCTGCCCCTCCGCCCCTCGCCAACAATCAGTGGGCAAGAGCTTTTCAAGGCGAGCTTCTGGGGTGCACAGGCGGAGGGAGGGGCTACAGGCAGAAAGAGCACAGTCAGCTCTGACAGTCGTCCTGAAATTGCTCCTGCGGTGGGTCTGGTCGGCGTCATCTGGATTGTGCTAAGCACAGTTAGTCTTCAGTTCCAGGGTCGGTTTCTTCCCATTTCTTTGAGGCCAGTTCTCAGAATTGTGGCAGCTTATGTCATGGCTGCAGCCTGGCCATCATGTAGTTAACTTCTGCGCCTGGTGGGGTTTTGGTATCTATAAGACAGCTCACAGGACACGGCTCAGAGTGTTATCTACAGCCCTTGAGGAGGAACTAAGGGTCCTTGACTTTGCTTCATGACTAAACTACTATGATTTGGTCTTGTTTGACTGTTTTCCTTTGCTTCTGCGTTTTCTCACTTCTCTGATGGAACTTATTCTTTGACTAAAGTTGTTCTATAGACAAAAGGCAGGCGGAGGACGTGGGGTGGGGGAAGGACCACAGGGCCCTGCTCTGTTTCACTAACCCTTTCACTGTCTTTAACTGGGGATGACTCCTAGCAACACAAACCACCGCAATGCCTACTTCCATTTTTGCTGTCTTACACTCTAACGGTTTTTATTCCCTCTGTTCAAGAGAAGGGCTTTGCTTCCTCTGAGTTCTGTTCTGATGTTTTGTTTTGTTTTTTAATTTTATTTTTGTGATTCTCACATCGGGGCTCTCCCTTCTCTGAATCTCCTAATGTGGTGGGAGGTGGGGTGAGGTGTTGGAGATGGCTGTGAATATCAGGGTCCTGTCTCTGGGGAAATCAGGATGCAACCTGATCATCCCGGAGGGCCAGTGTCCTCCACCCTCAGCAGAGGAGTGCCAGTATCACCCCTCCGGACAGTGATGTGGCGTGAGGTCAAGTAGGCAGACAGCCGGAGTCGTCTTCATCCAGGGTCTGGGATGCAGTTCTGGTACTTCTGTCACCCTGACGTATAATTATGAAATTGCACCATCGAAGTGATGACACTCGCTCCTGCGTGTATGTGTGTGTGTCCCTCTCCATTCATTCCGAATGCTTCTGGCAAAATCAGTAATTTGATAAAGTGGAATTGAAGTGACAGGAAATGACAGAGGTGCCAAAATAATAAGTCAACCTGCCTCTGAAGAGGCAGCCCCTTGGCCCGTGTGGATTTTTACGGAATGCTGAGTGCTCTGAAGGAGAACCAGCAGTGTTTTCTTTAAAGCTCAATTTCCTTTAGTTAAGAAAGCTTAACGTGATACCTGTTAGACTAGATGGCTTCCCAGGAATTACTTTCTTTTTCCTTTTCTCCTTTCCCTTTCACCTCCCTTCCTCCTTGGCTACCTCTCTTCCCTGTATTCTGTATATAGGGATATATTTGTGTGCCTACATCCGTACCTTTTTCTGAAATATTTTGGAGTATCTTCTCGATAGAAGAATTTTAGAAAACACAAGATCTCAAGTTTTCTATAGGGTTTAATAGGGTCCCTCCCCGCCAGACCCGTCCAATTTCAAGCCTCATCCCATTCTCTTCCACTCGGTAGGGCCATTTACCTTGAGATGAGTCATTTTCCCATTGAATCCTAGACCGGATATAATGATGGGAGATAAATGGTGAATTTCAAGTGGTGGAGAGAGCCCTCATCTTAATGAAGAGCCATAAAATCACTCTTCCTGGTCTGTGCACCGTCTGTACTCCATCTGAGACTGTTGACAGAAGGAGAGAATCTTTTTTTTTTTTTTTGCTCTCCATTTCTCTGTTTTTCTGTATCCTAGACGCCTCTTTTCCATAGGCAGACAGTAAGCTCATTGTCTTTTGGAGAACGTTGCCCAGTTGTTCAGAGAGGGATTCATGGTGTGTACCAGAGAGTGGTTTCATTTTACACTTCTCTTTTGCTTCCAAGCCCGGCAATGAGCAGCGCCCCTGTGACTGGACCTGCCCTTGGATGGCTTCCTGCCTGTTTCCTAAAATCACCCAGAGGATGTCACAGGGAGATCTGAAAGGCCGGTAGCGTTTTTCCCCCTTAAGTGGGAAGCAGAGCTCAGGTGGTTTCCTCCCACAGGCCAGGGCCACGGAGCTAATGCAGATTTAGCAAAGGTGATGTGAGGTAACCCGTCCCTGGGGGCAGCTGCACGGCCCTGAAAAACCTCCTGCGTGTGACACTTACATGACCCGTGTTGCTGGTGGAAAACAGAGGCATTTAAGTTCATTTTTATTTGTGGTGTAAAATCCGTTTGAACTTCAACACTACTGCGAAGACCGTGACTCAGGTGATGAGAGCAGAGGCTGATGCATCAGTCAGGGGGAGAACCCGTCAGAGGAAATGAGAGCCCATTTGCCAAAGGCTACAGACACAGACAGGGCTTCCTCTCCTCACTTACCGCCTGGCCTGGTGCGGTTAAACAGTTTCCCATCCACTCTAAAATTGCGTGGAAGGCGTTTGAGCGGTTTTCAAAGTTAAGGAGCCTTTCAGATTGGGTCTGAGTGAAGCTGTGCTCGTGACTGGTGATGCTATGGTGCTGTGGTAAATACTAGGAGTTTGGAACTTTTCCTCTTGCAATCCTTACTCTGGACCAGGCGTTCCTAAGTGCCTCTGGATACTTAGAGCAGCTGATGTACGAGGCACCATCATTATCCCCGTTATACAGGTGAAAAACGGAAGCTCAGAGATGTTAAGTCATTTGCCCAAGATCACTCAAGGTGCATCATAGGCTAGGGTTTAAACTCAGAGATTCTTATTTTGGAAGCTGTGTTCTAAGCCCTGATGCTCCACTGCCTTATACACACACACACACACACACACACACACACACACACACAAAGAGAATCAAATGTGTAGAATATGAGAATCGCCCTTTCCAACTGATGAATTTGTACCTGAACTGGTAGCTTCACCCATTGCCAAGTAAATAGTCTAGTTTTGAGTCTGGGGCATCCTTTCAGCCCCCATGTTTTAGCTCTAGCTGGCTCACAGTGGAGATTTATCAGAGCCTTGTCA